GCTCATACATGACTGCCTCGTTGGTCTAGTGGTTGTAGTAGTGCGACTGCTGATCATGAGGTCCCGGGTTCGAATCCCGAGTCGGGCCAAAAATGAGTTATTGAGTTTTTCCATCAAGAAATTCTCAGTAGCTGCCCGAAGTCAGAAAGTTGGCGGTGTCTCACCCCCGTGCCTCGGAAAGCACGTTAAGCCGTTGGTCCTGCGCCTGATCTCTCTCCGGTCGTTTCGGTTTACCGTCCCATCGGGCTATGAGAGTGAGGGAGTAGAGACTAGAGAGTGCACATGTGCTTGCGCAAACACTTGGGCACTATAATCCTGTCCTGCGCAGATGGCTAGTCTCCGTTGAGACTGGCCGCCGTGACCGAAATTCGGTCTGGAGGACATTATTATTATTACATTTAGGTAGTTCAAAAGTCATCTATATCTGTACCACATCACTGCGAAAAAAGTTACGACTGTAGAGAACGTGCAACTTGTTATTTTTTTCACCTTCATCTCTGGGCGGTAAGCAGTTTATACATATTGTCCTTTTTTAAGAACATGGGGCAATAATTATAAAAAATCATATTTTTTGCCAAGCCTAAGCCTTGCGAGGTAGAAATTAATAGCTATTATACAAGTTATTGCAGCACTGATCTAAAATAATGCGCATACATACATGCTAAATCCCAAAACAAGAATTTAATCTTAAAATCTTTAAAAAAGATATTTCTTAATAACCAATTACAGCGCGAGGAGCTTAGGCCCACATTTGCTTGCATGTTTCGATAAGTTATCTTTCTCACATTTATGGCTACGCCTAAGACTTTTTTGTCGTATTCATTTGTAAACTTTATTCACGCCTGGGAATTGTTTATAACCGCTAAATTTGTCTGGCGATTTGCAGATATTATTAAAAATTACACAATAAATACGTGATTAAAATTTGAGATTGCCAAAAGTATATTTTTTGGGAATTTTAAAAATTTTAATATTTTTGGGCAGGTCTGGTAATACTTTATAACCGACAAAAACGTCTGTGATTATATTTTTGGAATTATATAAAAACTAAATTAAAAGATAAAAAAGAAATCATGTTGCCAAAAAAACATTTTTTTGGAATTTTTTTTTTGCAAATTCCGTAGGCTGCGCAATTATGAAATAACTGCAAACACTGTGCCTAACTCGCGGGACTGGATTCGTTAATTGATGAAATTATATTTTTTCACAATTTCAACTTGCCAAAAGGACCTTCCCAAAATTCGTCGCCAGCTCTGACTAATACACGAAAGCCAGTATTGAATTGGCGGTACAAGCGAATACTTCGAAGCGATACAATTGCGAACTAAAGTGATCTGTAGTACAATTGTGTTTTGTTATTGGTGTGGTTGTAAGTGGTAATTAAAGTTGTATTGTTCTGTAATTAAAGTTTCAATTTTAGTAATTCACTCGGCAGTTTTTAATTGTCTCGAACACCAAGCTCGTAAAACAATATGTATGTAGCAGATGTTATTGCAATTTTTTTATTATAGGAGGGGGCAAACGAGCATGCGGCTCACCTGATGGTAAGTGACTACCGCCGCCCATGAACAACCGCAACACCAAGGGAACCAGGGGAATTGCAGATGCGTTGCCGGTATTTTTAAAAGGAGTAGGCTCTTTTCTTGAAGGTCCCTAAGTCGTTTCAGTCCGGAAAAATCGTTGGTGGTAAACTATTCCACAAGGAAGTTGTGCGAGGAATAAAACATCTTCTAAATCGCATAGTGGTGGACCGTCAATCATCCAGATGGTGTGGATGGTATCGGGAGTTCTGCCGCGATGTTCGTTTTAATGTAACCAAATAAAACAAAAACATCTGAAACTATATTTAATATTAATCATAAGTTTATAACATGACTTAATCGTTACAAAACATTTTAGATAAAACTACTTCCCTTCGCTTACCATTTATCTGGGTAAGGACGGTCTGTTAATAATTTACATTATGCTAGGCCCAGATACATAGACAATAAATATATGTATGAGTTCGCCTTAATTTAGGCAGAGTGACAGTATTTGATAAATATTAATTTAAAAGTAGCCTTTAAATTTTTTTTACAAAACTGCAGAGTCCGATGACTAGTTCTGTTGACAAATACATTTCAATCCTTAAGCTTACAATGTTACAAACACTAAGTTTGAAGTCTTGTGCATCTAGAGGGGTCTTGTTTGCAGGGCAAGAGGGAACACGCATATTTTATTACTACCATAAAAGTTAAGTAAATGGTCCGACTAACATACAGAGTGAAGGAATTAAAACATTGACCTCACACTATTTTCCACAAACCTACACTCACACATCGAAAGGATACTATTTTATTTACATTTTTGGATCAATTTTGGAATGTCCATGGAATAAATCGAATTAGCGACAAAACATGACAGAATAAAAAAATTCGATGCAAAAATACGCGTATGATAAATTATAAAAAAAAAATAATAATTTTTCAGCAGCATTGTATTGAGACCCCGCAAATGATAATATAATTCTAAATATTCTTATACATTAAATATTTTTCATTAAATGAGTGAAATCACCGGATTTGTTTTAAAGGCATACAATTTAAAGCATCCATAGTAAGCTCGCATGATTTTAACATAGCTATGACTAACTAGCAATCAACTAATATAAGGTAAATATTTTTGATACTATTGTCATCGACTTGTTATGCTTGGTTGAACTGTCATCAAATTATTTGAGTGTTTTAGAAATGAAACGCATCAACATATTGTTGTAAAGTATTTTTTAAACAAATTTATATTATAACTTGCGATCGGCCCCGGCTTCGCACGGGTGATTTTTCGATCTCGACAACGACACTAAACCCATCCAAGTACCTACTACTAACGGACAGCAATTGATTTTTATATATAGAAATAATAGATAATGTGTAAAGGTGTTTTGTCCTCTTTTTGGCTGAAAGCCTTGTAGCGAATGCCACAATAAATCAGTTCAGTTCAGGAATCGTTCTCTGTCGAGCACGGCAGTTTGAAAATCAATCATTAATTTGGAAGGTAGTTGCCAGACTAGGAAAAAACATTGACGAGCAAACTGATATATTTCTATCTTTGAATAGAGTTATATATTAACTTAATTGAATAATTATTTTGCAAAACATTAGAACAACACTTTTAGAAAATTAGAAGGTATATAATACATATTTCTATATATTAGCTGTTAATTATTAAAGTACCTTATCCAGTCTCTAAATTAAATACTAAATAGTGTCATAAATAATTTAACATGTTATAATAAAGGATACAACACAGCCATACAACATTTTGGCCGTTAAAAATAAATCTAATTTCTATTTTTACTTCAAAATCACACACATAGTGGGATCAAATTATTTGTGTGTAATTTTGAAAGATTAAAGAAATATAAAGCGATGGCAGATAGAGTACAATCAAGATATGTCAACATTATAATGTAATAACTATAAATTGCAACTAAACACAATTTAAAGACTATTTTAAGCAACAATTATATAACTTCCATTGAATAAGATAAAAACATCGAGTTGCAGTACTCACATAATGTATGTAGATACTGTTGATCAATACAATAACATTACACTAAAATATACATCAATATGATTTAAATTTTAAAAGAACACTTCAATTAAATTATTTCAATCAATTAGTTGCATTATGTACTTTCTCCAAGTGCATAGTAAACGCTGCTTAATCATCCATTTGCACCTGTAACAATAACACGATAGTAAGTGGATCAGGACATTGTTATTCACGCAATATTATTTAAATACATTCATTTTGGTAAGTAGAAAAGCATACAAGTGATTTAACACTAGTAATATTATAATTAATAATAATAAGTAATCATAGGTAGTAAACTTTCCTTTACTTAATTTTATAACAAGTTAATTTAAACTAGACAATAATAATTAAGTTCATTTAAACCTCGGACCAAAAAAAAAAAAAGCAGTGTTATCAATTGTCACAAAAACTTTTTGAGACACACTCTTCGCTGAACATAGGCCTCCCGCACAGATTGAGTCATAGGGGGATTTTGCCATAGTTGACACACTTGGCTATGCTACTCATCACCTGTTTATAACCTGTTTCAATTGTCCTCTGTCGCTTCTTACGACACCCACGCTATGACATGGGGTAGTGGATATTCTTACACCGCCACTACACGGTTAATACACACATTCACACGCACATCTTTTTTCTTTATCAGCCTATAAAGGTTGAACACACTCGTACATTAAACCGTTAGTTGGAAATTATATTTGTTGTATGTATGAGCAAGTTCTTACAATAAGTTGAACATAGTTTTGGCTTGATTTTTGCATCCGTTTTTCTCTCTTTGTTTGTTTGAACCACAAACCTATTTATATAATTTTGTTTGTGTTAATAACAAATTATTTTACGTGGTAGAGCCATGCTGCAGCTATATTAGTAGTATAGTTGTAGCATGAATGGGTCGGCTCTATCGGGGATGGACCTCACAGAATACCAGCGTAAAATAGCAGCTTTATACTGCTGTATTTCGTATGGTGAGTGTAGAGAACCGGAGACCCTTTTTACTGGAAAAGAGGCTTCAGGAACCGGAGACCCTTTTTACTGGAAAAGAGGCTTCATTCCATCTTAGTCCTCACGGGTGACAACGCATCTGCATTTTGATTCTTTGTTGAGGATAGATGTGGATGTCTATGGGTCACAGCAAGCACTTACCATCAGATGAACTGTATGCTGGTTTGTCACCCTATCCTATAAAAAAAAATTTGTAATTGTGTACACACGTACGAAGTGATACTTCTTCATGATATATCATTCCTCTTTTATATTTTAATAAGTAGGTTAAATAAAAGGCCTACGCAAAAAAACGTTACAAGAAAATGTGACAATTTTTTAAAATTCTATAGTAAATTTCTCCACTACGTCGATAAAGAAGGTTTACTTCTAAAATAAGGTTGTAAAAATGAACCTTTCTTACCTATAGTGCATGTATCCGTTTAATATCGGTTGGCGTTCGCGATCTGAGCGTTAACCGCAGCTGCGGCTGCGTTGGAAGCGGCCGTCTGAACGTGCTGGTTGCGAAGAATCTCCGTCGTGAACTCAGCCTGCGCTTTCGCTAGAGACGCCCCGGTCGATCTGTAGATGCGATGCACCTGAAAACGTGATTTCGATATCAATAGAACAACAGTTTCCAAAATGGGGAATGTGATAATCAATGGCCATTTCTAGCCCGTATCCTATGGACCTCTTCATCGCTCCTGAATGTCAAATTTATTTTCTAAAAATGTTTTAAATCTGGTAAGCTCCAAGATCGTATCAGTTATCTCTTTATCCGTTTAATTTGTATATTATGTATCTTATATTACATTGCCTTATATTATATATATTTGTGTGTATGTGTATATGTTTGTATGTGTGTGTATTCTATGTAATATATTTAGTTATTTCATTCTATTAGGTATTATTTAGATATAAGTGTATGTTAACTTTTCATAATATTTTTTTATGTTCTGTGTAAGGTTCACAGGCATAGAATGCTTTTAGCGTTAAGTCCGCCTTTTGATCCTGTACTGTTTTGAAAGGATCATTAAGGATTAAATAAATAAACAAATGAATGTGCAGCAGTGGGAAATACCGATCCCATTGTATGAAAGGATTAACTTTAATAGCCATCAAGTTTAGCCCACTAGATTTCCCCTAGACAACGGCAACACGAAGTAGCATCTGCTTCGTGTTGCCGTTGCATTTTACATCTGGCATATGCGAGATGGTAAACCTTCATCTATTGGAGGCTATTAGATATTTCTGGCCTTCAAGGCCTTACAACATCCATGCGATGACATGATAAGACAGTTGTTGATAATATTGTATATATATATTAGGTAAGTAAATAAATTATCTCTATATATAATAATAAATTGCTGTTCGTTAATCTCGATAAAACTCGAAACTGGCCCTACCGATTTGGATGACATTTTTGACTTTTGTTAAAAAATATTAGCTTTTGTTACATAGTATTTGGAAAGTAGGATGTTCAAAATATTTTTTTTTAAATTATTGTATACTCTGCTTATAAGTTAATTACCTTTGCCATTAACATGACATCTGCTACCACTGAAGTGATAAATCCGATAGTCACCAGGAGAGTGATGATTCCAACGCCGACGTTTAGTTTAAATGCTGAGATACTGGTGATCAGGCCACTGGAATTAGAACAAATTGAATTGTAGAAGCCATACAAGATCAGGGGGGTAAGCATTTGCTTTAAAAAATATAGAACTCGAGCAAACCCGCCACGCTGCCCTAATATGTGATGGCGGACTTCACATATCTTCAGAATATATTTTATTTATTTCTCAGACATGCAGGTTGGTTTTCTTTGTTTTTAGTACTTCAAACTGCAATCAACAATTTAATTGGTGCCCGGCTGTCGGCGGGGATTGTACCCGTTTTGCTCGCGTACTGTGAAATTCACAGCGAGGGCTAAACGCCTGTGCTACAACGCCTCAGAATGTCGACTTATGTAAATTGTTTTTGTTAACGTCATCTTGTACTTAGTAATCTAGTTACTTTAAAACCAGTACAGATGACATCATGCTATTTTAATGGAACTGTTCACGAACTATACAACATATCTGTATTTGAAACGATCCAGTTCCAAACGCGTTTCCTGCAAGTCCTGGTTCGAAAATTTGATTTAAAACAAAACACATGTTGGTTTTTAAGGTCTTCTTGTGTTTTAATCGTCACCTAACACTGCATAGCGTAAATCTTACTTAATAGACAAGGACTTGTGAAATATCTCGAATTGTTTTTACAGTTTTACATTTAAACACGGTAGTCACGCTTCAGCTCTATTAGGCGGAGAAGCCTACACTCAGAATATCAGTGTGAAATAGCAACATATTGCTGCTATGTATTGTATGGTGAATGATGAGACCCGGAGATCCTACTGGTAACGAAGCATTGCATCTTAGTCCTGAGGGGTGACAACGCATCTGCATTTTGAATCTTAATCAAGGATAAAAATAGATGTTTATGAGCCACTGGATCCATTTACCATCAGGAGAACTGTGTATTAGTTTGTAACCCTTAAATCTATAAAAATGTTAAATAAGAGTACTTATTATGAATTATAAAATTACCAAGAACCTCCTCCACTGAATCCAATCGATTGCACCGTTGTGATGATGATTTGGAACAGGAAAATGAAGAAGAAGACCATAAAGTTGAAAGAGGAATCACTCCTGAACGCCTTGTATATTGGTCGGTACCAACATATAAAGCTGAACGGTGTCAGTAGCAAGAAGTAAAGTATCGACAGGCCGAATATCGTGAAACCCTCGCCGGCGAACATTAGCGACATCGCACCGATTATGTTCAATGCCAACACCAGGGAGTGAACTGAAAATGAAAACGAAAATTTTATGACTATTTGTGTATGGTCATCTGTGTCTGTTGTCGTACGGACGACTTTCTGAATTCGTCGGACAACAATGCAAAATACGCATGGCGTATCAGTATATCGTCAGCAAATCAGGTCGCCGTTCAAACGTAGCAGAGCCACGCTGCAGCTATATTATGGTTGTAGCACAAATGGATCATCAGCTCGATTGGCGTAAGGGCCACGCTCACACAATACCAGCGTAAATAGCAACTTGTTTCGTATGGTCAGTGAAGACAATCGGAGACCCTTTTTACTGCAAACGAGGCATTCCATCTTAGTCCTCAGGGGTGACAATACATCTGCATTTTGATTCTTAATCAAGGATAAATGTTGGTGTCTATGGGCCACAGCATTCACTTACCATCAGGTGGACTGTGTGCTCGTTGATCACTGTTATTATATAAAAAAAGGTGAGTAATATTCTCGCTATTAATGTTGGTACCGCATTTTTTACAATCCAGTAGCTTGAAAACATCTTCCAATGCAGCGTTGAAGAGTTTCGGGTATATTTTGTGTAATATTGTCATTTATCGCACGACTTTTGTCAAAATATTATCTTGTCTGTAATCTTAAATTTAGGTAAAAAATCACAGCCACGACTTTACCTTGACAAGAATATTGACACACTTCGAATAATATGGCATACTGCGCCTACAAATACCGATGTATCGAGAAATGTAAGCGGTATCAACACCAGTGAGACTACAAGGCGGACGTTGCAGTAACAATCAATTAAGAAACGGCCTTAGAGAAGTGCTTGCAAGATCTCGTTGCTCTGCGATTTATGGCGGTGTTATCATCTTATATACAGTTGAAAATACCCTGTCTGCAATCAGTTAGATGAGTGCCCCTTAGCACAAGTTTTCTATACTTACGTTTTCCGTATCGTTATCGACTAAAATTATATGAAATAAGCGCCCCTGGCGGACGGAAATGAGACTATGCAAGTTGATGGCGATATGAATTTGATATTTATTTATTATAAATTACTAGCTCGTCCCCGGCGCTTTGCTGACACAGAAGTAGTGATTGTGGAAATATCGTTTTAAATTTGGAAGACTTATATTATTTAATTAGAAATGATAATACAATAATTGAAATTAAATGATATAACTTTCAAATAAATTACTGGTACGATAAGCGCACCACCTAGTGTAAGTTAATTGTACTATGCCTATAACCTTCGTGCTGCTGCAATGCTGCAAGCAATAAGCTGACAAGTGAAGTTGTAACTAGGCAATAACTGAAGTTTTACTGCAATCTGATGAACGGTACAGCAGCGTATAAAATACGAACAAACAAATATAATTTTTTATATATTAGATACAGTATGAAAATTCGTGCTGAGCGGGAAATTAGTATTACGATCTCTAATCTGATTGCTAAGCGTAGTAGTTACCGCAGATTCTGTCTATAAAGAAGTGAGATAATCATATTCAACGGTGGAATGTGCATAAAAAGTAACCAATTCTAAGACCTCTGCTATACGAAGTGTGCTTGTTAGAAGCACTAGGATTAGGACTAGGAAAAATACTTGTCATACAAATTAAGCATTTACCTATAGAACTCAGTCACCATACAATTCGTCGCTAACGCCGCAAAGGGGCAAACCTCATTTTTTTTTAAAAATTGAGGTTTGCCCCTTTTTTTCATCAAAAAATTAATCTTATTTGTAGTTTTTCATTAAGTCTAATATATTTAATTTTTTGATGAAAAAAAGTTAGTAATCGGGGAATAATAAATGTTTTCACGCTCTCCTGTAATTTTTTGCAAAATTGAGTTGTAACATTGTAATGATCATCATCATTACAGCCTGTCAAAATCTACTGCTGAACACACACCCGCCCCATTAATTTCCTCATAATATTTGACACGCCATGATATTTGTCGTAGTTGCCACACTTGGTGAAGTTGTAACATAACTTTTACAATTTACATAATGCTATCATAATATGTATATTACCCATAGGAAATAACATTTGATAATTTATATTATGTATTGTCCTATCTGGTAAACTTAATTTAAATATATTAAAGTTATGTCAAATCTTTAATACCTACTCTTGCGATAATACGTGGGAGTGAGCGTTTTTTCGCAACCTGTCACCTCTCAGACTGATGTAATTTCCTGTACTCGTATATTTGTCGTCGCTACAGTATCAATGAAAAATAAAATAAACTTAAGTTGAATAGAGTAATTCATCAAGCTAGACGACGAGTCGAGCATCAGATAAATAATTTCCTCTAGACAGAATTACGATCACGGCAGCCAGTCTCAACGGAGACTAGATGGCTAGTCTAGTCTCCGTTGCGCAGAACACAATTATCGTGCCCGAGAGGGCGCGAGCACAGGTGCACTCTCTATTCCCTCACTCTCATAGTCTGGTGGGACAGCAAGCACACCCGACTGGAAAGATCAGGTACAGTGCTAAAGGCTTTACGTGCTTTCCGAGGCACGGGGATGAAATACCGCCAAATTTCTGACTCCGAGGTGATGAGAATTTCTTGACATAAAAACTCAATAAATGATTTTTTGGCACGCCCGGAATTCAAAACAAAATATAACCTACCTATGAGTACTACATACCTAATAACTTATTTTTAACTAAAATTTGGAAACAAAAAAAGCACTCACACATCCACAAATGATATAAGTGACGCACGATTCTTTGGAACTCTAGCGGAATGTCCACGTTTATATCCTGATAGAAGCACGGTTGAACTGGACAGAAGGCAGGCAACGGTGGCCAATTGTTCCTACGACCTGCTGAGCCTGCTCGGAGTTCAGCCTCGCGTCGTGCCAACTCTTCAGCCTTACGTTCTAGTTCCTCTTGCCGCTTCTGCAAATCAAGTTCCATTACACATGTTCCATATCCATTTAAATCTGGTAATTCAGACGCATTGATCTTTGTTTCATTAGGGATTGGCATCGTTGGTAACTAACACATAAATTGTATTTTATAGCAAATATTAAACTGCTACTGGGTACTGAGAAAAAATTATCTTCAGCCTACTTAAGCGTGATTGTAAAACTATTACGGAGGTTACACGTTAAGTTTGGCGTTAGTTCAGTCTGTGACCTTGATCACGTATAGACGGCTTAATGATGAATTGACGGGCGGTATTAGACGGTAAGTCAGACTGACCGAACCGAAAACTCCTACGCGATAACACGCATACGCATTAGGTATGGATTTTAACAAGAAAAAAATTAAAGAATTCACGGCAATAGTTGAAACTTATAGGGTATTAATTTTCATTTTCACATCTTGTACATTAGCTTGGGGTTTTATTTTTCACAATTACTAATAGTTTCTGCAGCACCTCGTTTCTCTTATATTTATTCACATGTTGGTTATTAGTTTTATCCCAAAGAATAGGTAAAACTTCTCTTCTCAAGTGACGGCTCCGTGGCGTAGTGGCTTAGCAATGAGTTGCAGCGCTGTGTACCGTTGGTTCTAATTCCGCACGGAACAAGTATTTGTATGGCCTACAAATAACTGTTCCGGGTCTGGATGTTTGTCCTTGTGCAATTTATGTTTGTAAACTGCCTCCACGGTACAGGAGAAAATCCTAGTGTGGGGGTAACGTTTAAAAAAACAGTTTGAATAATTTCTTTCTCCGGGGCTAATAGATGAGAAGGGGACGTCAAGGGTGGCGGGGGAGTCGGCGCACGCGGTGACACGGCGTGCGACTCCCTCGCTGTCTAAGCGGTGACTGACATCAGACTGATAGTTATTAAACACACGTTCAGTCTGGGATCAGTTTGACCAGACTGACAAAAATTATTAAAATATTTAAATAACCATCATTCTGGACCATCAATCTATCAGTCAACGCGTATACAGTTTCCCGTCATTCTGACATCAATCATGGATTGAACTGACGCCAGAATGAGCGTGTAACCTCCGTATAACATGCATGCACATTAAATTAGCAATATGACTATTTTCTATTTACAGCGCATGCGGTGAGTGAAACCCACGCTATAATTTTGCAATTAGGCTTTATAAGCAACTGTAAGTAGCGTTTTGTGATAAAATAATAAGAGCAATTTTTGCACATCACTTTTAAAGAATCCTGCTGTATGTTCGAGGACAAGATTTCACATTGATCTACACAAAATTTTTAAAACGAAATAGATAGCTTTCAATGCTAAAAGCACATGTTTTTTTTAAATAATTGATAATTATTAATACTTAATGTTTTTCTTACAATTTTTTGAAGTCTACATGTAATTAATAAACTTATGAAAAAAAAGGACATAAGATCTTTGGAATGAAATACGTAGTTATTTAGCAAAATTTTTAAATCTATGTTAAATAAATTAAAATAATTGCTTCTCATTAATGAAAATAAAATGTAGTTTCTTTAATATAAAAATTTTGCGTTCTCATAATGATAATATGACTTCGTATATTTTTGATAGAAACAAAACAATGAGTAATCCACCCCCCTATGTTTATCTATAAATCTAAAGTTGATAACGTGTCTTTTCAAGCAAATTTGATAAGCATATTTATACTTTGTTAATTGCGATCAAATCAACATATCATGATATTCTAGGGAGAAAAACAATTTAATTGAAAACTGATTCATCAATCAATTAACCCTTGGATCAAATTAATTTGTAACTCTGTTATCCGTTTCAAATCTGTACGAGTACATTACATATATTTACCAGAAAGTGGCAACATTTTAAAAAATCCGCCTTATTACAAAAAGTAGTTTGTGCCTAATAGTCTCAGGTTTAAAATAGAGACTGTTTAATTAAAGAAGTCTCGTGGAAAATATGCGTAATAAATTGTATAACAAAATGTCGCTGAGATTGTTGCGCCGCGGAGTTCAAATCCGAGACTACGTTTTGTAGTAAGACGATAAATGTCTGAAGTACTTATTCAGTTTCACAAAATCCTTTAAGATATTATAAATGATAGAAATAAGTGAGAAAAATATTGACAAATAAATTCAAATCAAATTATTTTATCTCCTTTCTCCGAGCATATGAACATAATCATTTGGGTTGAAATATATTTATATAATAATGTCATTATTGTATAAAAAGTATTATTAAATATAAAAAAAATAAGAACATTTTGTTCCTATTGTTGTACAACTTAAATACTTTTGAACAACAACTTGTACAAGTTTAACAGAAAGCTCATAAATATACTTCAACAAGTTCTTATTTCTCACAACAATTCAATTATCTCTAACAATAAGCAAGTACATATTCATAAGCAAAGAATAGGTACTGGTAGTTGGAAAATCAGAGCTTCTCTTTTTACAAACGAATGACGATTCCTACTAACTTAATGAAAGTGGTTGTTTGTAAATTATAATTTTATTTTTCAATTCTAATTCTAAAGTTTATTTAGGCAATATACAATATTTATTAGAATAAAAAAACTAATCACTAAAACCATCCTACAAAACTAAATAACTACTGTAAGCTGTGTTAAATGTAAATTAACACTTACACTGTCTAGTTGTCAGACACAATAGCAATGACCTATATGTAGTGCATAGGACAGCGAGAGGGTCAAGTAAAAAGATAAGATTTAAGTATTCGTTTGTGGAGATCCGCGAGAAAAATAAAAGCACCTCCCGCCCTCAATTGCGTAAACTATCACCGTTACCACTAATCCCAACACCACTACACTAGGAAAGAAACACCAATGTTGATAAAACAACATGTGTATTGCCTCTAAACGAGGCATTATCAGGAGAAATAGACTGAAATGGCTGACCGCTAAGGCTTATGGTTGTGTCTTTTCTTTCCTAGTGTTGTGGTGTTGGGAGTAGTAGTAGGGAGATGCTCTTCAAAACTAGGTAAGACGCACAATTTTTATTTTTCACACAGATTTTAGCTAATTAATCAACATCTACTAATTATCTTCTCCAATTAGGATCTCTTTTTGTGGGGAAATCCTTATGGACAGTGGGCGCTATCAGCTAAACCCACGGAAGTCACCATCAGTGTATCCATGGGGTGCCATTCAGTATGTTTTTTCTTTGTGAAATTTTGCCTAAAGCCAGCTTGTTACATCAGTTGGATTTTATTCAAAATAGTGCTTACTCATTCTAGGATGATCTTGGACAAAACCTTATAAACGCTGGACATCACACATATAGGTCTTTATTTCCCTAGTATGCCCTTTTGGATATTTAGGTTACTTTTGTACTATATAAAAGAGATAAATTATTGGGGTGTGCGATGGGGGCATTAGAATGACAGATTCTTATGCCACCATCATACATTCAATTTCATAAGTGTCGTGTCGTGACTGTGAAATACCAGACAAATCTCAGGCTTATAAATGGTTGGCGGTATAACAGTTAGTCCATCCATTTACGTCAGATATTAAAAATCCCTGTTCGACACACAAACAGCATTAAAGGTCAAAAACGTCTCATACTCTTCCGGACATGGTTATTAAAGCAAATCTATCAACGGGACAAGGCCATGCCCAGCAGGGATTTTTACCAGATGGTGATGAAGAAGAAGATAATTTTTAATTAAAGGGATTTTTACCAGATGGTGATGAAGAAGAAGATAATTTTTAATTAAAGACCAATAGGTGAAGATATTTGCTAAAACAAAGTACCATAGTACCATACTGCTACCATACATTACAAAGTCAATTATAATACAAAGGAATTTATAGCAGAAACCAAATCTTATCAATTAAAACTAAATGCAAAAAAGAACAATATAAAATTATATACATTGTTTTACTAGTTTCTATTTATTTTTTCAAGAAATATTTTTTGTAACAATAACTATACTTTTCTATGTAAGATTGAATTGTGACACTACTTATGTAAACAAACTGAAACAGAAAATGTTTACCTTTAACTCCTTTTATGCAGGTACAGGTGGGGAGAAGCAAAAAGTGAATTAATAGCATGCATTTATCAATGTGTCACTACAATTATGTAAGGTTATGTTTTCTATCATAAGATTTCATGCATTATTTACACATGTACTAAGGAAGTAAATTAGTATGAAGTGAAGTGTTACAATTCTAATAAAGCTACTTTTAATTGTTATATTTTTAGTAAGATGTAAATATAGCATTGAGTTATTGGTAGTTTAGGCATTATCTAAAAATTCACAATCAGAGTAACCAATACTCTTTTGGTTGCAATTACCAGGAATGACAATGATTAATTGGTTTATTTGAATGTGCAGAATTTTTAAAACCTTTCTATAGTAAAAAAAAATAGATCCGTAAATCTATGCTACCATGCTCAACCAGCAGATGCAAGGTTATCAATTATTTACAGAATATTATTTTATGTAACAATTAAATAGTAAGCTGTTAGTTTTAACTAAATATCACCATCGCCAGTGAAGCATCAATACCTCTCACCTATTGAGCGTCAAATTTTCAGATTGTATACAGTATACACCATTAAATGATGCATAATGGACTGATCAAAGCAAGTCATTTTGAGGTGACCTCATCTTTTGATTTAAGCAGAAAGTGAAATGCTTTTTGAAGTTTTTTTTTATCAAATAGTAGTCAGATTTTTAGGACAAAATTTTCAGCCAAATATGCTGAGTTTTTGGCACTGCCAATATACAGCAAAGTTGAAACACCATGGGACTATAGTCTGTGCAAGCCCAACATAAAACATCTGGTATTCGTAAGTATTTTCCAATGGTGAAAAAATTACTTTTCAATTTTCAGTAAATTACCTTTTCCTACATATCCACAAACATAAGATTGCTGCATTCTGTATTGGTACTTCACTGTCAATATGTAAGAAATTATATTAGTGTTGTTATAAAGTAAAAAATTAATGCACTTACTTGAAAGTCGGCAGTTGTGAAATTGGGTGGTGGAGCCTGTGATGCCTGTGGTTGTGCAGGCCTTGTGTATCCTCCACCAATTGGTGGAGATACTGCCTGCATGATTGCCGGCTGTGAAGGCTGCTGTTGTCCCTTATAATAGAATTAATGAATAAGGTGGGTGTGCCAATAACACATGAGGTATCGGAAGTACATCACTTCCTTCTTCAATCCAAAATATTTACTTTCTTTTAAATTTGCTCTTTACTTTAATTTTAAGATTTTAATGAGAAATCAAGTAAAAGACCATTTACAACAATGGTATGATAATATCATTGTTGTAAAAGGTCTTTTACCATTATATATGTTCTGATAATAATCAGAAACTATCACTTTGTTGACTTTATTGTTGGACCATTTTAATAAGCATTAAGATTATGATTAATAATATTACAATATATTATAGAAATATTTATAGGGAGATCTATGTTCAGCAGTGGACTGATAGGCTGTAATGATGACAGTGATAGTATAGAAATACAGCCACATGTAGGTATATAAGTCATTAGCAACATACCTATCTATAAATGCAAACATTGCCCTAGCATGTAAAGATAAGAAAATAAACATTATAATTGCTGATATCAATATTATTACACAGTATATGTTGTACATAACGTATCTAGAAATTTTTATGAATATTTGATAGATTCTATAAATTAAGGTCAACACTTATTCATCAGACTACTAAATATGCGTGATAAATTTCTAATTATGGATATACTTATGGTATACCGTAGCTTGATTTGCATTTTGCTGTGCTTCAAATGGGTTATAGTCATCCAATCCACGGGTTGCATTTGTAGTGCTTCTAGCTACTTGCTGAACGGATGGATCCTAAAATAAAGAAAAGAAATCAAAAGAGAAATTCATGATAACAAATTTTAACATCCTACAGCACTACTTACAGCAAAAGGATTGTCTATGGTTGGATCACTAAAGGGATTATCTTCAAATTTCGACATTGGTTTTAATTTGACTACGCCACTTTAGTAAAATTAAGTTTTATATGCTACAATGAAAACGCTTTTAACAATACTTTTTGCATAAAACTCAATAAATACAAGCTACCGACACAATAAATGACAGATTGCAGCGATGACGATGTGGTGACAGTGTGACTGGGCTGCCAGCATAAATATTATATAATACTATCTTTTTTATAGGAGTTTATGGCCTGGTATCTAGACCTTTAGGCCAAGTCTTGAGTATTTTTATTCGGTTTATTATAAATAATTATCCTTCATAGTTCACTGCTTCACAATATGTTGATGCGTCACATTGTGCAGCCCTTGAGAGATTTTGACGGCAACTTGAGCCAGCAGACAGCTGATAGTTGGCGATGGTATCTCAAGGCGCCTATGCAAACAAACAGCTTATCTTGAGAATCCATCACCATCAGAGCACTTGTTTCACTGTTTCCACTAATAGTTCACATGCGTAGACAATTAATACACAAAATCGCACCACTTTTACATATCAAAGTCCACTTCAAACCATTATTTAAACAATAATACAGGAGCAGCAAGCCGCCGCTGATCAAGTTCCCGCCAAAACTCCATATAATACTATTTTATTAATAAAAGTTGGTTTGGTTACATTTTGGTTCATTATGATCGAATCGATTCTAAATAGATAATTTCGTTTAATCTATACAAATAAATAAAATTGAAGTGTTTATTTGTAATGTCAAAATAACAGCTTTTAACTAAATGCTCATCAAAGTATATACGGTACTTATAACAAAAACACAATGGTAATTTTTTACTTTCTGTTTGTTCCGGCTAATCTCCGAAACAGCTGAACTGATTTTGACGGGACTTTCACTTCCCAATAGCTGATATTATACGAAGTAACTAAGGCTACTTTTATTTTAGAAAAATAATTAAGGTTCTGCGCAAAAAAAATACCTATGAAATGCAGTCGTCATAAATTACACGCGGGCGAAGTCGCAGGGAACAGTTAGTATATCAATAAAAATAATATTATAGATTTTAAACATATTCTTGTCTCGGCCGAACTATTCAACCTGCTCAAACATAGAGCAACACGGGCCACTGTCAGACCGAAGGGGAGTAGTAGAAGCTTTATGTGCTCGAACTACCCATTAACATATCGAGTGTTGTAAAGTTCGTTTGAGGGTGGATACTTGAGTGAACCACGAAGATTTATGGCCGGCGCGACTAGATAAATAGGTAAAGCAACAAACTATAATGTTTGTATTTAGGGATTGTTGTATTAAAAAACTTATTTTAATAAAAATATGAACCGACTACAAAAACTACCTACTACAACGAATTCCCTTTTATTAAGTTAATTTTTACTTTTGAATGGACTATGGAAACTCGAGGTGTATAACAACAAACATGTTGTTTATTTATTTTATTTTTTTACAAGAGAGGGCAAACGAGCATGCGGCTCACTTGACATACACCCGTCATGTAAATAGCAACATTAAAAATTTCATCCCCTATTTTTCCATCCTTAGGATGTTGATTTTTTCATTTATTTATATGGAACTTGTGCCATAGAATAGAAAAGGGGAGATCTCCCACCGGGCAAGTTGCGGAGCGGCCATCACTCCACGTAGTAGTCTAATTTCTCTGATATTAATGCTGTTAGCCAATGCGGCTCTAACAGCTTCATCGAACCAAAATCGATAATGTTGGGGAGTAGGATAATATTGTGTTCAGCTCATTGATCACATTAACATAACACAGATGAGTTATCTAACGGCCGTCCGAACAGGAAATGGCGGGCCCCGGCTCTGACGGCTAACTCGTATCGTTCAATGTTCTGGGCGGTGAGATACGCCCAGGGGGGCCGATTTACGGTGCGTACGCGGTGTGGAGAGGTGTGCGGCGTGTCCGCCTGCTGACTCTGCTGGTCCCAACCGTTGTTGTCCTAACAGTGTTTGTGGCACTAGGTGGTTGTGTAGTGTTGGAGTGTGACTAGCCGAAGACATTTCGGTCGCCGGAAACTCCACGTGGTAGTTCGGAGCTATTCTATATATACTGTGGTGGCGCTGTCGTCGCGCCACAAGCGAAAACACATCGAAGCCTACAACACAACATCGAAGCACAAACAAAGTTCCGAAGTTAAAGCAGCATATAGCTCCAAACTACCAATCGGAGCGTTGGCCGCTCCCCGGGCAGAACACCTTGCTCGGCGGGAGATCTTCCCTTTTCCTTCCATACGCCACAATACCATAGTACTTCGAAACTTTGATAGCGTGATTTAGGTTTCGATATTTTTCAATTGTGACTCATCGCCAACCTTGTCACAGAACCAGCGTATAAGTATAAATATAAAAAAAGAAACATTAAAATCTGCTTAGCAGTTTCCAAGAAATACATTAAAAATATATAATAAATAGAATCTTCTCGTTTCTTTAACTCTGCTTGAAACCAAAATCAAATCTTTGGTCATAGGGTACATTTTCAAAGGCTGTTTAACAATGATCTCTCGAAAATGTAATAAAAATATTTTGCTGTCTAATTAATCTTTGAATAATTATAATGTTGCAAAGAACCTTGCTACCAGATTTGCCGTTGGCAAAGTGAATTATCACATTAAACTCTTAACTATAACTATAAGCTTGTTAGAAAAATAAAATTTAAAAAAAGTAAAGTTGCAGCCTATTTACGTCCCACTGCTGGGCACAGGCCTCCTCTCATTTCTGAGAGGGTTTTAAGGCAAGGAATTGTGTACCGCGCTGCCATAATGCGTGTTGGCGAACTTCACATATCTTCGAAATATATTTTTTTCTTATTTCTCAGACATGCAGGTTTCATCACAATGTTTTCCTTCACCGCCGAGCACGTGGTAAATTGTAGTTAACTATGACATTATAAAAAATTGTGGTAAATGGTGATTAGAAAAATAATAATAAAAATAAAAAATCATCCAAGAATTATTTACATAGATATGTATATAATTCCATCTCCCTCGTAGATGGACTACACAATAATAAGAAGTACTAGCGCATGGAGTAAGTCTATCTATGGTTTCGCTCCTAAAATTTTTATATTATATTGGCAAGAGGAAGTCGAAAGTAGTTTTGCAGTTGGCAGTAACAATTCCAATTGTCAGATGTCAGTTTACTGGACGGTTCTGTCAAAGTAGGCAGCTGTTTACGTTTTGTATCGTTATTTTGCGATCGTTTTGCACAACTTTTGTTATATTGTATTGTTTTTATTCTAACACTTTTACTTCTACGATATTGGTGAAATATAATTGTGTTTTTTATTGATTTCTTTAAACCATGTCAGATGTCAAGAGGTGAATAAATCAAGTGTTTGTGTCTAACGTGTGAGTGACAGTTTTTATATTGTTTGGGATTCGTACGATAAACATATCGGTGAGTATTTCCTTTTTTTGTACGTCCTTTGAACAGTAAAAAAATTCTTTGAAGTATGAATTATTAGCTGTTTTATAATAATTTTGTAACTATTTGCCTTTATTGATACAAGGTGATTGCATGTTCATAGTTGCAATTTTGTAGATTATGTATGACAAAATGAAAAAAAAAAATTAATTATACGTGGCGCATTTCAATAATGTTAGCAATTAGGTATGGCGTTTTGCAAATTTGGCGCGGCGTGTGCGCCGGGTCCTTACGCGCCGGCCCAGAACGCTGCGCGGCGAAAGTTGTTTGCTCTTGATATCGAGGAAGTATAGCTTGAATAACGCAGTGTTTTCATATGTGATTTTTTTTAAATTCTTTTAAGTATTTTGAATATACGGTTTTATGATTTTATTTCTTCGATTAAAATGTTTCTGTATTAAGTATTACTTAGTAAGTTTTTAAACCTGAAAGTGAACTTGCAAAGTGAAAGTATAGTTACTCAACCTTCAGTATGGTTGTTATCTCTACCCAGTTTTTGAAACAGTTAAAAACAAATGTAAAAACCAAAACCAAAAATTAATAATTTTAATCTAGAGGTAGTCCTGGTTAACTATAACATTGGGCTGTCAAACACCTCAGTCCTCCCAATAACCATGGGTGCTGTAAAGTGCTTGAAACATTGGGAATATAAAATAAGTTAATATATGTGATAAAATCTGTAAAATCTACTGTTATTTGAATGTGTAGTGTTAGTATAAATATAAGAATTCATTATGAAAGTATGAATACCCACCACAGTCTCAATGTAAAAACAATAAATTCTTATCTCTTAGTTAAATCACAACATGTAAACATCAAATATAACAATAGCTGATTCTTGTTTATTGTTTTTATATGAATAACCAATAAATTGCAATGGGTGTGTTTCGATACATAAATATAATGTTATTTATCCCTTATCATGCTTTGATACATATTAGAAGAAGCTAATATTTGTATTTTTCACCTGGTATGGCCAATATGTTCATGCTTTTCTTCACTAAATTATTAACTGTTGTGTTAGGCTGGCCACATACATACTGAATTAAGTTTTGGAAAACCGTTTCGGAATTCCGAATGCAGCAAGTCCATATAAAATCAAGGAACGGTCACACATACGGTAGTTTTCCGTTCGAAATTATGTGGGCAAAACAGGATTCCGAATGTGCGTGGCCGACACTTTTGGAATTCCGAAAATGTAAGACAGAAAGTTGAGCACAGTACTTACTTAATTTAACCCTAGATCCATAAACATTATAACAAAATTACACTATGAATAAACATTTGTCTCTCAGATAAGAAATATATATATATTGATTAATTAATTTTTTTTACCTAGTTAATATATTTTTAATATTAAATATTGTTTATGAATTATTATTTATTACTTAAATAAGATAAAATTGAATAAAGAAGTTATTTTAGGATATAAATTTTTTACATTGAGCGCCATGGAGACCTTGTCATATAACATTTGTTTTTATAATCACAGATATCATATTTCTTATTGAGATATTTTGAGTTGTATTTGATATGCAGATAAAGTTTCCCTAAGTAATTATAGAATTTCCATTTTTA